AAATAAACTTATTAGGTTTATTTTAAATGAAGAAAAATAGTTGAATAATGAAACAATCGATAAATGCTTTTTATATGAAACGTGACATAATTAATCATGAAATAAAATCACGTCTATTGAAGCAAACGTTTAATAAAGCTACTTAGATAATAATTGAACATTAACGAACATTTTTTCTTTTCTTTTTTATTATATTTAAACCAATGATATATAGGATTTAAAAAATTATAGAAATATTTATTAATATAATTGAAAAATTTCTCAAAATTTTCTTTTCTTTTTATATATGTATAATTAAATGAGATCGAATGATTTAATTCTTGTTTGGTTTCGTTTATATATTAATATTTATTATAGAATAGTGTATATATACGAGTTAATTTAAGTGAAGAAATCTAAAATAGAATATTGATTACTTAACCAAATGAAAATATTATTCAAGACTATTTATTCTTCCATGAATAATTCAATATGAAAGCATCTGGATAATGTAAAGATATTTCCTTTTTTGTTTAAATATAAAATAATTATTGTAGTGATTTATATCAAGTTTAATTCTAGAAATAAATATTATTTAAAGAGAAAAAAAAAAGCCCAATAATTTCTTTTATTTAAATATATTTAATTTAATTTAATTTAATTGTAAAGTATAATAAAGTAATATATATATATATATAAAGGTCAACATAGTCAATATGCAAAATGTGATGATCAATTGGTGAATATGCATATGCTTCAATGTTATAAAAAAAATATCGATCAAACAATTGATACAACATCACCTGAAAATGCTTATTTTATGGATGGAAATATTCTTTGCCAGTTTGTTTTCATTAAAATTTATTTTTTATTTTTTTAATTATTTTAATTATTTTATTCTGTTAGAGCTTATAATAATAGTTCATCATATCGTAGATGTTTATATTCAATATATGGTCGTTATGATGTTTGTTCATATGAACGATATCCATATTCATATGAATATTCAAAAATTTATTGGAAATTAATAATGAGTTCATGTATTTTAGAAAATAGTAAGTTATTTATTTTAATAATATTTATTTAAATAAAATAATTTTTTAGATAATAATTGTTATCCATCGAGAATAAATCAACAAGTTATTAATAAATGTAATTATTCATTTGATGAAAAATTTCCAACAAAATGCAGGTTAATTTTTTATTTTATTTTATTAAATAAAATAATAAAATAAAAAAAAATGTTTTTTTTTTTTCATTATTTTAAAGAGAATTTTTACGTTCTTTAAAATGTTTGGAACGATATGAAATGGAATTAATTTCATCAACATACGGTTCAGTATGTTCACGAAATAAAGCTTATTATTATTATTATGAAGATCTTGCTGCTCGTCTTCAATTAGCCATTGATATTTGCGAAATTAATTTAACATTTTAAACAATCACTCTATTTAATATTGAAACAATAAAAATAAATTTAACAAACATTTTTAATCTTTTCTTTTTTCATTTATAATTATTTAAGAGAAATATTATCTAATGAAATCAAAAAAAGAAAATATTTATCGATTTATCTTAATATATTTCGGAATAAAATCAACAAATTATTTACTCTTCTCTTTAATATATCATAATTAAATATCAAATAAATAAAAATTAATTTTAAAATAGATTTCTATTATTAATTATTATTTTTATCATTAAGTTCGAATGAAATTTTTCATGATTAAATATTCATTATCTAATTAAAAAAAACCTTAGCTCAGTCGAAAAGTAGTGAGAGTGACGCTTTAATGCCTTATAGTAAGATGAAGGAGAGTTTATTTTCGTATAAAACGATAGAGAACAAAAAACGTTCTATCTTTCTATGATAGATGATCATACTTAAACTAATATTATTATAATAAAATAGAAGATAAAATCTGTTTTATCTATTATATGTGACGGTTATACTAATGCTTATTCAGTGAATAATTTTTAAATAACTTTTCACAAAAATAATACAGAGACGATGAGATTTTCACCGTTCGAAAGAAAAAATGAAGATGCATTCAATCTTACATTATAGATTTCTTGACATGAATTTTTAGAGATTTTCAATCAACCTCTTTGAAAACAAACTACTCATAAAGTGTTTACAGTGAATTGTCAATTTTAATGTGTCTATTAAAACTGTCGATGAAAGATCTACAAAACTGCAGAAGGTTTCGATATTTCGAATTAATCATTGAAAGAGTTCTAGATGTTCCAGTTGAGGATCTAACTGATTTTTCTAGTATTTTCTGTGAAGAAATAAAAAACAACATTTTTTTTTCCATACTTAGAAAATTGATTGAAGAAATTTCAGATAATGTCTAGACAAATATATAATATGAAATTTGATGCGTCTTCATCTCCTCTTTCTCAACGGTGAAAACCGCAGTTCTCTATCTTGTTTCTATCAAAAGTTATTCAAAAAAAATATACACTCGAATTCGAGTAACCGTCACATATTATAGAAAAACAGATCTTATCTTCTATTTTATTATTATTATATTAGTTTAAATATGATAAAATAGTGTAGAAAGATAAAGCTTATTTTTCTCTATTAGAGTATATGAAAATAAAGTTTGTTTAAATTTACTATACGGTATTAAAGTGTCAGTCTCACTATTTTTGGTATGCCATAAGTATTAACAATCAATTTTTCAATTATTATTTCATAAGACAATTTTCTTTTCATTTATTAAATAAAACAAATTTAAATTCAATGAGATTATAATTAATATAAATCATATATCATTATATATAATTATTATATTTAAAAACATTTTAAGGTTGATTATTTGATAAATTTCATATGATTGTTTATTATTTATGAGCGATATTCATAAATGATGTCCGTTGAAAAATCATTTTTTTTTATTTTTTTTCATCCTTGAACATCCAGTGTCAACAGTCTATGTTTTGAAAAAGAACTTACTTGTTCAGATGCACTCTCTAGTTTTCAATTGAAGCACAGTTCATTAACTAAATGTACGAGAGAAAGAGAAAGAGAAAGAGAAAGAGAAAGAGATAGATTAATAATTTCATGATGTTTTTCTATTAGATATAGTACAATTGATTTGTAACTTGATAAATTGACAACAAATCTATAATTTTATTTTGAATAGTGTCAAATAAAAGCAATATCTTTAATCAGTAACATATCGTTACAATAAACTGTCATTAATCTAATTGATAAAGACGTATCAAGTGTTCACATAGAACATAATTATACACATATATCAATCAAATTGAATGCAATTCAACAAAAAAATTTAATTAATTCGTCATATATTACTCAAATCCATACTCCTACGATAAACAATAAATTTTTTAATAAATGCAATGATCAATTATAGGGTGTGGGTGTGGATATCCTCGGTTTAACCGCAACTATACCCACACCCACACCCACACCCACACCCATCCTCCTTTGTCAACAGCTTGTAGTTCTTGAAGACGTTACAACTGATGAACCTCATACTTTTATCATAGATAGAGAACTAACAATAAGCAGTTACGTGTTTCACGAAAACAAAATTTAAAGTAGATTTGACGAGTTTTTTTGTAACACATTAGTTTTCTATAAAGCTGCTTTCTGATACGTTCCGATGCTCATCAAGTTTTATCGGATAGAGCTGAAATTATTTTTCAGATGCCTAAAACTGTATCTTAGAAATAAATATAAACCTTTTCAAAAATCTGATTTTTGTTTTGTTTATCACACAATGACATAAAGGTCCAGATTCCAAAAGGGACTTGTCACTTTAAAGACGTTCTAAGTTCAGACAGTTAAGTGAAAAATGAAAAAGCCCGATTTTACCATTGGAGAGTAGTTTCAAGCATGAAACGTTAAAAATCTAGTCTAATTCAATGATGTTTAACAAAGATCATAATTGTACCAGGAAGAGATTTTATAAAAAAAATTAGCGTTCTCCAAAAAACTCAGAAAATCTACTTCGAATTTTTTTTCTTCAAGCATGTATCTTCGAAGTTTTAGTGCTCTATCTATTATGACAAATTCACCCTCATCAGCGGTAATATATTCAGAAATTCTAAACTATGAAAAAAAAAGATAAGTAGTTTTCTTAATTTGTATCTTTTGAAAATCTTTTATACAGTAAAAATTAAATAATATCTTATCTAGGAAAAATTCTAAAACTAAAGTCATTTTCAGTATTTACACTAATTAATACAATGAATTATTGGATCACTTTCAATACTAATGTAAGAATATTTTTATAAATTTAGTTTTTTTTTTCTAGTTGCAAGTTCATTAAACATATTTTATTTAATGAATTATTTAGAAAATACTAATTCAGAACCGACGTCATCCAATATTGAACATAATGAAACACTCCGGTCTCGTACTATTCAAAACAATAAACGAAAAAAATGTTCAAATGAGAGCGTGAAAAACGAAATGAAATAATAAAAATCAATGAATATAAAACATCAACGTTCATCGAAAATTTTTATTTCTTTTATGTTATATGATGGTCATTAGTAATTATTATCTGTTATTTCCACCACAAACATTCTAAATTATTTTCTTTATTTCAATACTTTATAACAATATAATAAAACTAAAAAATCAATTAAAAATAAATGATTCGTTGCTTTATTATTCTGTTAATCTTTTTTCCAGTAGTTCATTTTCATGAAACGTTAACAGACACTCGTAAATTTTGTGAGCATAGCATATATTCTGCAAAAAAAAAAATATTTTTTTCTCACATTACCCAATAGTTGTCTCTTATTCCAAAAAAGAAAAAACATTAGATTCTTCTATTAAAAATAACGATGCTTCTCTCGTTCTTCAAGTTGCTTGCCTTGAAACAAACGCACTAAGGATAATGACACCTGACCTATTATCAATGTTCCTTACGCAATTTCACGGATTTCGCTGATATTCACCATTAGCTTTCATCTTAAATAATTAAATCGCCCATGTAATAATAAATTCTTTAATGTTACAGTCTCATTCCATAGTAAATTAGCGATTCCAGACCTTTTTCAAAAATAAATTTTTATCAGGAAATTCAAAACCATAAACTTTTGAAAATATCCTTCGATATATTCAGATGTGCTTTTCTATTACGATTATTCTCGGGATCAGATTATTCTATTTCATTGATTTCACTAATTTGAGTTATTAATGTTGTTATACCTTCTCATAATGACATATAATATCAATCGACAAACAACAGACAATGAAACATTTCCAATAATATTAAAATATATCCACTTATCAAACTAATTTATGATTAAAACAAAATTCTATTATAACTTTTGTCATTACTCAAAGACTCGCAACATATTGAAAAGTACGAGATTATAAAGTCATACAAATTGAAGGTATGCTGCATTTTTGGAACATCTATATTTTCAAATGACTTATCTCTTTGAGATGAAAGCTTCAGTTTATTCCTACCTCAAATGTAACTTTCTCGTATCACAACATCACTCAAATCCATGAAATCAATTATGCACCATCATCATGAGACAAGCGAAATATTTTCTATGAAGGCGTCACTAATTAACCAAGGTTGAAATCTAACACTTTTCAGCTTTCCCCCAATGTGATTTTGTCCGAACATAAATAGATGCTACTCTGCAACACATTTGCGGAAATTTTTTTACAATCAAATAATGTAAACGAAGTAAAACAACAAAATGGTGCTATTCAATTTCAATCACTTATTTTAATCTTTGAGCATAGTTTCCTATTAAAATCACTATCGTTCATATATGATCACAAAAGAAAAATCACTTTCTATGACAGAGAAACACGAAAAAATGAAAACGTAAAGAATGATTCTTTTGTTTGTGACACTAATCATCACAGAACTATTATTTTCAACAAAATTTACTAGCTTATCAGACTTCACAATTCTGAATGACTGATTGACTGTGCTCGATGAAACATTCATCCTAGCGCGATCAAATATATAATGCCACAACTTGAATAACAATAATCAATATGCACTTCTCGAACAATCCTAACAAATATCTATTTAATTATTCAATAAAACTACTTAAATGTACTTTCATAACTTCGTATTCACACAAATATTTTCATGCGAAACTCGAAGACAAAATCCAATTTTAAAACACGTCTTATATAGACGTGCTGCTTCGCTCAAGACTCCTTATCCTTCTCTGGTTTACTCACAATGTCGTTGAATCACTCTTGGCCCATCAGTCCCATGCCCTTCAAGCAATTCCCAACATATAACATCTCTCATTTAATCAATAAAAAAACCTAATAAATCCAATTTTACTAATCGTTAAGGCTCTACCATCCATCAGCACTTGAGCAGAAAATTCACAATATCCATAACCAATATATTCTTTACTAATCATTGTTATTTAAGCATTTATTTACCGATAATTAGGTAACAAAGATTAACA